CCTAGACATATTAACGAGCCACAAAGTGCCATTCACATCTATGTTAGTATATGGAGCAAAAGACAAAGCAGTCCTGATTGTTTAGAAATTAGATAAATTAAATGGTATTTTACTCTGAGAACTACATCGTCAAATCAACATATCATAGCAGAGCTAAGCAAAATCACCAAAAAGACATAATGACTCCTGTTAGACAAGAGAGAAACCAAATATAAAAATATAAACAATGAGTAAAACAATATTCTGAATGCCACAGCAACCTAGAAATAAACTCCAGTAAATGTTAAGAGCTTGATGCAAGAGAGAGAGTGTCATAAATCAGTGAATCAATAAGAGAAACACATCACATTAGGAAAAGTTGGATGAAGTTTATAAATTTACAATTCTAAGCAGAATATCCTATAAAGATAATTATTGCATTTTCATTATTATTATAGTAGTAAAAATTTGGAAACAAACTAAATGACCTTATGATAGGTGAATCTTAAATTGTCTGCTCCTATAATAGGCTATTAGGTAGTCATTAAAAATTATTTTTTAAACTCAAGAAAGTGATATAATGCTGTATTAAGTTAAAAAAACATTGTGGTGTCAATTTAACATACCAATGTACTTTTATACATACATACAAAGAAAGAAAATGGGAAAAAATGAATACACCAAAATATCCGTAGTAATTTCTCTGATGTTCACACAGGTGATTTTGACTAACTCAGAAGATGCATAGGGCCAATACTCAAGCTCTGACATTAGACTAACTGCATGCTGCAGATAATGCTGGGTCCTGTATTTAATTCATAAGAAGAGCATCATTTTTAGATGGAATAATCTTTTTAATGTCAGGTTTTCTTAAAGTTTTCAGATTTTTGTAGAATTTCAGGTAATATTATCACATCATCATCAACTTAAACAGAAATAGTTTTTCTAAAGCCTTCATAGATATGGTACTAAGCTAGGGTATCTTTTTCTTTTATTCTAGTAAGAATTGATGTTTGTTAATTGACTATAAAAAGAGTCTGACATTTTTGGGCCACCTACTATTTGCCAGGCACTTTACCTATTTAATGTTTGCAGTTTTGAAAATAATAATACTTGTTGTAAACATATAAACAATGGAGAAGTGTCAGAGTTACTTCCTATTCCAGGTATAACCAGCGTCAACAGTGTGGTGTGTATCCTCTAGACTTTTTTCCTATGCATTTACAAACACACAAACACATATGCATGTATAGTTTGTATGGTTTTGGTTTATTTCAAAATCACAATAGTACTATATACATTGTTATTTATCTTGTCCTTACCTTTGGTGATATATTGTGAATATATTTGCATGTGACTGCATGTACATCTACTTCATTCTTTTTAATGTGTATAGTATTAATTTATACTTTCTTCTCTATACTTTCATCTGGTAAAGGAACAATAAAAAATAGTACGTAGTACGGTTATTTGAGTAACTCTCATAATTATGTTTGCAGAAAGCCAAAGAAGAAATTGTTCAGAAGGTTTACCCAGAGAGAGATTTAGCATTCTCTGCTAAGATCACTCAGGATAACCCTGAACTTATTTCATTTGAATTTATAGTTGACATTGTTCCTGTTTCCAATGCATTCTCTAGAATGTGTGTTGTTGCTGGCCCCCATATGCAAAATAATTCCCAAGTAATTATCAGAATCACTTAAGAACTAGGTTGTCTGATAGGATCAAAGGCTACTAGCTAACAGAATTAAAAACTCCAAAATGAATGGCAATGGTTATATCCAACTCCTATCCAAAATTTCTACTCCTATCTAATCTACTACTTTACACTTTGGTAGAGAGGGGTGGCGTGGAAAGAAAAGAGGGTGAGGAAGATAAACAGAAAAAGGAAGGTAATCTTGGAACAGTTTCAAGTTGTCTTTTATACCTTCCCATGCCTGCATATACTATATGAACTGACAAGAAGGGAGTCTTTTGTCCTTTTGTCCTTTCTTCAGGGTATGTAATGTTACATTGGATTTTGTAGACCTGTAGTAGAGAATCGTGTTGAATAAAAATTCGAATACTTGCTGAATGATGTAAGCCCTTTAGTACTTAAATGGCCATCTTGCAATGGAATTATATCTAATT